CTGCCGTGTGCACGACGGGTCCTTCCCGCGTTCACAGATAGATTTATACATAGAGCAAGTGTGTCTCCTCCGAGAAGTGGAAGCAGCGCCCCTAAAACGCCCCCAGCACCCTAGGGGCTGGGGTGGCACTGCCCACCCCGTGCTGCCGCCACTGCCCTTGGCTGCCCACTTATCTTTGCCATCTGGATCTGGGGGGACTTTGCTCAGTGGTTGCCTGCTGCCCCTGACCCCGGGGCCTCATTCCCTGCTGGGCATGGCGAGGCTGATGCTGGATGACAGACCCCACACACGGCACAGTATCCAAGAAAGAGTTAGTGCTGGCAGGGCATGTGCACTCCAGGGATGCTGCAAAGGACACTCAGCCCCCCAATCCAGGGGGCACTGAATATAGCTGGCACTTGGCTGTTGGGAGAGGCCAAGGAACCCTGACTTGTGGGTGTGCTGCTGTGCCCCTTCCTCAAGCAGGGAGGGAGAGCAGAGTGGAATTTCCCCATCAGAAAGGGAAACTGAGGCACAGCGCAGCACACCTGCTGCTGGGAGCACGACCTAGCCAGGCAGCTCCCCACAAACCCCATCTCACGGCAGAGTGAGGATGCTGTGCCATCTGTGAACTGCAGCCAGGGCATATGTGGGTGCCCTGGGACATGCAGGTTTGATGTGGGGATGTGAGAAAGCATTTTCTGCCTGGTGGGCCCATCTGGGACCTGGGGGAGGTATTATGCACATCCCCCTGTGTCAGCACTACTCCGGCCCCTGCAGAGCTGCTGTGCAGGGGCTGAGCAGGGTGCTGGCACTGAAGAGAGTAGGCAGGTCTCTGTCCCCCAGGCCCCGAGGCTGGCCTGTGCTCCTCCCCTCACCCACACCAGGCCCGACTTACCAGTCCCTCCGTCTGAAGAGGCTCGGGGAGTACGGTGGCTGGAAGGCCATGCCACCCCTGACCCTGCTCCAGCCCCTCTGCTCCAGATGCTGGCTCTGCCTGTGGCTGCGTCCCCCCAGCTCGCAGTGGCAGAGACAGCCTGGGTGTTGGCTGCATCCAGGGGCTCCAGCCACAGGGTAAACACGCTGGGAGATGACCTCAGCTGCACTCAATTGGCCCTTTCAAGGCCAATGGCCAGTGTGCCATCCCGAGCTGCGCGGGTGCCCCCCTCCCTGGGGAGATGAAAGGCCTCTGTGTGCACTTGTCCCCAGAGTGGCTGGTGGTGGGCTTGGTGGCAGCCCCTGGAACACAGATTTGTCCCCCCGCTGGGACAAGTCCAGACCACCCACACCAGGGGTCCTGTGAACTGAGTTTGCCACGGCAGCTCATGAAGCGTGCTGCTTTCACTGGGAAGAAGACAGGAGAGATGGGGAGAGCATTTTCTCCTACAGTTGTGCCACCTCCTGTCTTCTGCAGAGAGCTGTCAACAGCAGGGAGATGGGGTGGCTGGAGCCCAGCCTGCCCCAGCCCTGGCAGCTGTGCCTCTGTCTTACACCTCGGGCAATATTGCCCCCCAGTCCTGGTTCAGCCTCCTTCCCAAAGGAAGCCCTAAATCATGAGTGGCAGGGACCGAGGGCTCCAGAGCCGGCACACCAGAGCCTGCCTGGCGGTCCTTGTCTCACAGCTTGAAGTTCCTGGTCCCTGCCTGGTATCTTTCTGATGCAGCACTCAGGCACCAAGGACTGAGAAAAACCCCCGGATATTTCTGCCGCTACTGGAGGGCAGCTAGAAAATGCTTTGTGGGAGATTGCTTCAGCTCTGCCACCTCCAATATTTTTCCCATGGAGCTGGAACTACTGCAAAAATAAACTGGACTAAGTCACTGATTTCCCTGCAGTCCTGCTGGGTATTTCCACCCAGCACTGCTCAGGGCATGGGTTCCTCACTTAGGCTGGGCAGGATCTGTTGGCCTTCGAGAGGCCGCAGCAAGGGATGCTCTGGAGGATGAAGAAGCAGAAGTTTCTTTCCTGGCATTCAGTTAAATGGGGGATCCCTATGCAGGCGAGCAGGCTGGGCAGGGGGCTGCAGCCCCCTCGCAGCCCCACACCTCACGAGGGGGCTCCTGAGCGTGCAGTGGGGTGCACACAACCAGGGTGCACCTTGCAGCTCCTACAAGCAAGTGCTGCCTGCACATGTGCGTGCACACACACCACAGCCACACACCCACGTCCCCTGCATGCACATGTGTGTGTGCAGCCCACACGAGCGTGTGCTCTGCACACAGGGGCACTCCCTGCACATGCATGTGCACCTTGGTGCACCCTGCTTGCACACATGTGCGAGCATGTTAGTTTAGTACCTGGAGCTGATGATCTTGAAGGTCTTTTCTGACCTGTGACTCTGTGACTCTGTGACTCTGTGACTCTGTGACACGCACTTTGTGCTGCTGTTCTGCGCGAAGATGCACGAGTGCTGCTGGCACCCCCTGCACACGCTGCCCTGACTAACAGTGATGCCCAGCCCTGCCTGCACACCCTGCCAGCGGCACAGGGCACAGCGGGAGGGCACCCCCAGCGCTCAGGTATCACCTGCAGCCCTGCTGCCACCTCCACAGTGTGAGCAGCAGCTCCCAGCTCTCTCCAGGAGCTCCTCTGAGCTGCCCCAATGCCCCCACAGCAGCAGGGTCCTACACGGGGCTCCAGCTGCACCCCAAGTGCTGGGGGGGGCCCTTTCCTAGCACACCACAGCCCTGGCCTTGCCAGGCTGCTATCAACCACCTCCTCTCCAATCACCTGCTCCTGCTTCTCCAAGCACAGCAGGGCGGGCAACACCCACCTTGCTCTTCCCAAGGAGCAGGTCACCATGGACTCCCAGTTACCCTACGGCACCAGTGATGGGCGCTTGGAGCAGGCTGGGCAAGAGGGGCCAGTGGTGGGAAGTGCATCCCTGAGGCAGCAGCATGGCAGCTCCTGCATCTGCACACAGTGACAGGAGGTTCATCAGGCTGGGCCTGGCTCGTGCCTGTGGTTATTTTGGTAACAGTGACAGCAGCCGCAATACAGGGCAGTTGTGACACTAACTGTTGTGCTCTCTGGGGAAAAAAAAGCACCCACAGTTGTCATCAAGCAGTGAGGAGAGGTGGTGACACCAGCCAATGATGATATCACCCCAGCAGTGGCCCTGAAGGACACCCCAAAGCTGGCAGCAGCCCCTCAGCCCTTACACAGCCGGTGCCTCAGCCCAGAAGGTGCCAGCCCCGCTACTGGGTGACATAAAGTGACAACCCCCTCCTCAGCAATGGGACTTGGAGCTCTGCAGCCACCACAGAGCTCCGCCAGGCTGGAGCAAGGGGTGACAGGGAGGAGGACGAGGGGATTATCTCTTGCTGCCTGGCATCCTGCAGCTGCACAGTGCTGTGGGTCAGGGGACATGCCCTCCCCTCACAGCCCTGGGGACAAGCTGTGCTTTTGTACTGAGCCCCATGTGTTGGACCTGCTCCAGGCACTGCAGAGCCACACACTGAAGGATGCTCCTGTCCTGGTAGTGGCCAATGGAGCTGGAGGGGTGGCTGGGGCATCAGGAGCAGCCCTGGCTCCCCAGACTTGGCTCTCCCCCTGCTCCAGGCTGTGCTCATGGCTCCGTGGCACTTTTCCTGGCTTGCTCTCTCCCAAGGACTCAGCTCAATGGGAGGAAGGCCCTTAGAGGGTCTGAGGCGTGGGAAATGTTTATAGCCTGGCCTCAGAGACACTGGAGAGCAAACTGGGAAAGGCGCAGAGCCAAGGCTGCCCAGGCTGCTCTGCAGAGCCAGATCTCCTGCTCCAAGGGTCAGAGCAGAGTGGGAGAGGAAAAGCTACTGCTTGCAAACACAGCTAAGAAAACTCTGCCTGTCAAAGCCCCAAATCCTGCAACGATGGTGGTACCAGCCAAGGGACTGGGAATGCCAGCACCAGGGCATCCCTACCGTGCCCTGCAGGAACGGGGGAAGTGTGGTTGGGGACACTGGTGATGGCTGGGGCCAGTGGGTGCCTCTGGCAGGAAGGGCTGGCTGTGCGACAGGGCCGAGGAGCTCCAGGTCTTGCCCAGCAGCTCCATCCTGGTTCTGGGAAAGGAGAGGTAGTGCGAGGGGCTGCCCAAGGGCAAACAGGCAGCTGAGTCTGCCGTGGAATCCCAGGATCCTGAACAGCAACTGCCTGCCCTGTGGCACTGGCGTGGGGCTTTTGTGCCAGTCCCAAGGGCTGTGGGCCTAGCACTGCCAGAGCACACCGGTTGTCCAGATCTTGGTTTCCTCCTCCTGGGCATTCCCTGGCTGAGCTGCTCCCTGAGGCCTGGGACTACCCTCCAGCTCAGCTGGTGCCTCCCAGGAACTGTGTGAGACACACAGAAGCCCCATGCAACCAGGAGCCCTGTGACATGGGGACCCAGGTCATACCCATCAGAGCCTTGGAGGGGTCACAAATCCCCCAGCTCAGGGCACGTGCTGCTCCAGAACAGCAGGTAACCACTCCTGGGCACACCTGGACGTGCTTGGGCAAGGATGCACCCCCTGCCTGCAGAGCTGGTGCTGGTGGCCTTGCCTGGCCCCAGTCCTAAGCCAGGGCACACCAGAGTCACGTGCGGCCCATACAGGGGTGCGGCCATGCTGGGGAAGCCCAGAGATGGTTTCAGTCAGGGAAGGCCAGAGGAAAGCTACCCTTGGGAAGGCTGACAGGGAACATGTCCTCCTTCCCTTCATGCCCAATGGAGGCAGAGTGAGCTCTGTGGCCATGGGCTGGGGACATGGGTGACCCACCCCACCAGGCAGCAGGCATGGGCAGGGATTGTGGTGTGGAGACTCCTCCAACCTGTCAGGCTGGAGGCAGTGTGGGGTGGTGGAAGGAGCCCTGGTAGGCTCCTGTGTCCAGCTGTGGGGCTGACTGCTTCCTCTGATAAAGGTACTTGGCTGTACTCCCAGTTCTGTTTTTTTCTAGCATGCGAGTGCACACCCTCAAGCCAGCCTGCTGAGAGCTGCAATTTTTCTTTAACTTTGTCTCTAGACCCTCTTCTTCCGCCTGTGCCCCTAGCAGGAGTTGCCTCCCAGCAGTAGTGTGAGGAGGGGAGGTAGAGAGGACCCAGTTTCAGACACGTTGGAAGCCCTAGAGGACTCAGTTCCCTTCTCACCATGTTGGAAGCCCCCAGAATCACAGCTTCCCCAGGCATGCTGGTATAGGAGAGGAAGAGGAAAAAAGGCTCATTGGGTTGTTACCAGCCCTGGATCCTGTGGCCAAACATCCTACCTTGCTGGTGTTTGTCAACACCAGCCCCGTGCTGCTACTGCCAAGCCAGTGCAGACACCCCGGTGGGTACCCTGCCAGGGACTGTGGGGCACCCTTGCACCTCACTGCTCCCCCCAAAGGGTCCCACAGCTGCCAAGTGCTGAGGTGAGAGTGCCAGGCATGGCACAGCCCAGTGAAAACCCTGCAGCTTTCTCTGAGCACCACGCCAGCTGTTGGGGCAGTGCAGCTAACCTCCACCATGCTACCAGCTCCCATGGACCAGGGATGCCCAGCCCCAGGGAGGATTGCAGGCTGAACCCTTGGCAGAGCTTTAATCCACAAATCTGTCTGCAGAGCAAAGTGTTTCACACCCAGGGGCCGGGCTGGAGTGCTGTCACTGAACTCAGTGTTATCGCTCCCTGCCTACCTGTGCCCTGCCCCGGCGCTCCTGCCAGCCACGGCTCTGAACTCAGACCTGTCCTTGCTTTTGAGCTTACTGGGTCATGCAGGAGAGCCCCAGCTGCATCACCTCCATGTTCTGGGTGCTCTTTTTGGGTCCACTTTCAGGGCAGTGGGGATAGAGCACAGGTGGCTGCAGCACTGAAGGCACCTCCCACAGCACGGGGGCTGGCGGTGCCCTCGCACCCCACAGCAGGCACGCAGGGGCTGCCAACCCGGGCTCTGCCCCCCAGCCCCTCCTTCAGCTCTGCAGGGATCCTCAGCCCAGAGAGGAACCCCAAAGCTGGGCCTCTGGCATCCTCCAAAAACAATCCCAGGCCCCTTTTCAGGCAGGAGCAGGCGCTCCAGAGCCCTGCTAGGTGCTGGCAGCTGCTGCCCTGCGGCGTGCAGGAGTGCCCGCTCACTAATTGGGAGGCAGCTCGTTATGTAATGAGGACGGAGGCAGGGGAGCTGCGAGAGCTGTGCAGCACACCCCACGCTACCCAAATCTGCTCTTCCAGCCCAGAATAAGCCCTGTTTATGGAACCCCTCAAGCCCTTCTCTGGCCCTTTCCACAGGTGCTGGAGCCTGGTGCTCTCCTGCCTGGCCCAGCGCTCGAGGGGAGCCCCAGCAGGAGCCCCAGCAGCCCCTCAATAGCCGAGGGCGAGCGGGACCCCAGCCCCGCAGAGCTGAGCCGGCTGGGGCAGGGGAGCTGAGCTCGGCTGGCATCCACAGCAGGTCAGGCAAGGACACGGAGGGCAGCACGGCTTCAGCAGAGACGGTTATTA